CTACCCAGGGAAAGGGCAGTGGCTGAAAAAGCCCTGGAGAAGTGGACATAAGCAAAAACCTTCCAAGCTATCTGATAAAAAGCCTAATTATAGCCAGGTGAATTTTGGAGTATCTCTGAAAAGAGAGGTCTCTACTTCTCTCTACATAAGGTTCAGAGACATTATAAATTACTTTGTTCAGATAAAAACTCCTAACACAAAATTTCATCTCACTTGAGTGAGACACTGCTAGAATGGAATTCACTAATAGAGTATTTTGAGAAAAAAATGTGGAAGGATTAACCAACAGTTTAAATCATCTCTTCCAAAAAACTGGAGGAAAGTTCAGCACTGACTTCTGAACTGATGAAATCTGGCAAACAGAATGCCCTCCCACAAACCATGTGTTTCCCTCTCTTTTAAGATGATTACTCCTGGGAACTCAGGCTTCATTAATATGTGATTAACACCAGCTCAGAACACTGGTGAGGTGCTTAACTCAGAGAAAAGCACGAACAAGTACAAGAGGAAATGTGGTGCAGTTTTATATAAAAATGGTCACTAGATATATTCCAAAGAAGTGGAGTGTCTAATTTACTTCACAGAGAGTACCGTTGAAAGTCATCCAAAGGAGATACCCAGTTCAAGAACGTCCAGGGTGTACAGCTGATGTAAAGCTTAATGCTTTGCAGAAAAACAGTCTCTACTGTTTGTGTACAAAGAGAGAATGAGAATGTATCTGGGGTGAAAGAAAAGTTCAAAGAGCTCAGAATCTTCAAGTCAAGAAACCAGACAATGTCCATCCCATAAAAATATTGTAGGGTACCTCCAAAGTTCAAGTTCAGTAGAAAGAATCCTGATATAACTATGCAAGACTTCATAACTGAAGAATATTGAACAGATAAACTGAATAAGTAGAAATTCTTTGATCTGTACTCAGCTAATAGTATCCGAGACTTTAGAACAAGCTCTGAAGGAAAAGCAATTAAGAAGACATGGAAATAAATAGAAGATTAAATTTTAAATAGTTTAGTAAACACAGATCATGGCATATACTTTCTTTAGTAAAACAACTTTAGGAAGCACAGATGCAGTAGATCTAATATACCTAGCATAAACCTGTCTTTATTTATTCTGCCGTGCCATATTCTGGTAAGACCTTATCTGAATTACTACCCATGTTTCTTCTCACCTCTACCTAAGAAAACAAAATTAAACTGGGGAAGGCAAAGACACAAATGATAGGTTTGTTATGTATTGTGGTGATGGTGACATAAGAATTATTGACTATCAACCTGACACAAAGAAATTAATCTTTGACATTGACATTAATAATGTTAAAATGGATTGAAGGTGAGTTATGGAAGAGAAGGACACTATTCTTCAAAGTCTTCCTGGACAAGTAACATGCAAAACAGAACTCACCATAAGCTCTTCTCCAACAAAAATGAAACATCAGGAAAGGCTGGGGATTTGGAGAGACCACAAACAGTCCTTTCCTCTACAGATAACACACAGCCTTTGACATGCTGGTTGAAGGGAAGCTTTTGGAAGTCATTTAGGCCAACCTCCTGCTCAGAGCAGGTCAGCCACTGCCTTACAGAATAGGCCAGAGCTTCCACATCTCTGGCCAGTCTGCTCCAGTGCTGTACTTCCCACTGAATTAAATACTTCCCTTAATTATCACTCTAAACCTCCCAGGGCTGCAACTTGTAGCCATTACCCTGTGCTTTGGCATCTTTCACTGCTGAGAAGAGTCTGACTCTTCTGTCCTGGTGAGCTCCCCACTCTCAAGTAGTTGTAGGCTGCAATTAGGTCCCGGCCCTTTGCCTCTTCCTAGTAATAGGTCTACCACACATTCCGTTATAAGGCTATTTTCACCTTGGTAATTACACTAAACAGTCTTGACAAACTGAAGACTGAGTTCTCTCACTTTTTTTCTTCTTTTTTTAAATATATTTTCCATGGCTGTGTTCTGTCTAGTAAAGCAAAGTTCTAATAAAAACCCTTATTTGTTACCGGCTTAGCACAACAGTTGAACTAAGTTGGATGCACCTTTTAAGAGACTGTACTGGTTTTGGCTTGGATAGAGTTAATTTTCTTCATAGCAGCTTGTATGGTGCTATGTTTTGGATTTATGATGAAAACAGTGTTGATAATTCAGGGATGTTTCATTATTACTGAGCAGTGCTTAGACCGCACAAAGGTGTTTTCTGTTCCTCACACTGCCCTCCCAGCGAGCAGGTGGGAGCGCACAAGAAGTTGACAGGGGACACAGATAGGACAGCTGACCCAAACCTACCAAAGGGATATCCCATCCCATGCCATGCTCAGCAAGAAAAGCTGGGGAAAGAAGGAGAAGGGGGGGACACGTTTGGAGTTATGGCGTGTTGTCTTCTCAAGTCACCATGATGAAGCACGATGAAGCCCTGCTTTCCTGGCAATGGCCAAACACCTGCCCACCGATGGGAAGTAGCAAATGAATTCCTCATTGTGCTTTGCTTGCCTGTAGCTTTTGCCTTACCTATTAAACTGTGTTTATTTCAACCCACAGGTTTTCTCACTTTTATCCCTCTGATTGTCTCCCACATCCCACTGGGGAAAGGAGAGCGGGTGTGTGGGGCTGAGCTGCCCACCGAGTTAAAGCACAACAGACACATGGGTACCTGGAAGAGTTTAGTATCCCACTGGAGTCACTGGGCAAGAGTGGAATCTGAGGAACAGCCCAAGGATAACCTTTGTCTTAGGGAACTCTATTTGTCCCTTTAAAAGGGCTTAAAAATCTCAAAAGCAGGTATAGAGTGTATATATCTTAACAGGTTTTACAAAACCTCTCAGGGTTTTGGGTTTTTTTCAAAGTTGCTATTTATCCAGTTCACTTTGAGGTACTATTAACGTATAGTATTTAACTTGCAAAAGTCCTAGTGGCAAATCATGTTTGAAACAAACTATGTAAATCAAGATTTTAAGATTTTTCTGACATAAATTCAAGAAAAAACAACAATAAAGGTGTTTTCATTAACACTAGAAATAAACTGCTCAATTAGAACTCATCTCATATTATATGTTGAAGTTTCTTCACACCTTTCAGAATTAACACTCTGTCTGATACTAAATGCTAAAGCAAGTTTTTTTTCTTCCTCAAAGAATTTCTTTGATTAAAAAAAGGAAACCTTAAAGCTGTGATTTAAATATTTGTGGAAAAAATGTTTAATATGTTAAAACAAAGTAAAAACTTTCCATATGGTCAAACTTTTAATTATGCCCATGGGCACCTACAGGGAGTCAATACCAAAACTTATTTCTTGTTTATTGATGCCAGAAATCCATCAAGAATAAGAGTGATAGTAAGATATCTACTGTGGGACGAACTACCCGTGTATGTCTAACAGAGGTATCGCTCTCCCTCCGTCATCTCAAGTACAGAATCACAGCTTCCTCAAAGTAACTTTGCAGATATTTCTTCAGGATTGCTATCCAGTAAAACAAATATCCAGTACAACATAAAACAAAGCTCTTACTGGAGAAAAAGAGTATAGTTAAATTTTATACAAGATGACTCCCACTCTACAGCAAATAAAAATAACCAAATCAGTAAAGCATTTTAATATTCTTGTAATACAACCTAGGTTTAGTCCTTTCATTTTTCCAGATATCCCCATGAAGATATTAACTTTCTAGTATTCATAATCCAAAGTACAACAACAGACATCTTAAATTTGCCCAGATTTCAATTCAAGTATTTTAAAATATGTTTTTATGCTTTCTTTTCAGCGTATTGAAAGGTCACTTTTTTTTTTTTACATGAATGGTAACAGGCACAGTTCACAACAAAGGTCAAGATTTCTTTGGGGATTCATTCTCCCTCTCTCATTTTAAAACAAGTTCATGATTTGAATTCAAGATAAAAGATGAATATGTTATTGATCTAAATGCTCAGACTGTTCCACATATATATTGCTCAAACACCATGAATGAACAAATTATTCATGTCATGTATTTTATGAATAATGACAGCGAATGAAAGTCACAAGTGTATTATTGAATGTTATGAATAAACATGCGCAATGTCCGTCTATCCAAATTTCAAGTTAATGTCACCCATTCATATTCATAATCTGAACAGTCCCCACCCTGTGCACAAACATAAAAACCCAAAACAAAAGACAGAGTTACTTACCAAAGGTTCCCTGTTTTTGACGAGCCTGATTATTTTAACTGAATCTTCTTCCTCATCAATATCATCAGGCATAGGGGGCAAGACAGGATCGTAGTTCTTCTGAGCAACAGTATCATGTACAGACAGCAAAGCCTGGAAATATTAATAGTCAGTATATTATTTGGCATCTGAAAAGTTTATGAAAGACAAAGCAGAGGATATTATTCATAACCTAACTCTACTAGCGTGACGCATGCAGATAGAATATAATTCCTGTACACAATTTTAACACATGTCAAACTGATGAAAGAACTCCATGAAGTATATATTTTCATACCGACAATGTACGCATCTAGTAAATCGTGGATACAGAACAACATTTTCATACACATGAAAATATCGAGTGCTTTGCACATTAGCTTCAAATTACAAGAATTACGATCACGGGAAAACCCAAGTCTCCTGAAGTAAGAACATCATTCTACTTGTCCTATATAAAAAGTTTCTCCAATCCAGTAAGCAGTCCTATGAAACAAATAAGCCAAATAAGCATCTTCCAGTACTTCTGTTCCAGCATGAGATGTGCAACATTCAGCTGTTGCCCAACCATTCCCTTCAGAGGGGGTCTGGAAGCTTCCCTGGTTACTGGAACCCTTTCATACTAGCTCCCTTTCATACAAGCTCCAAATTATATTAGGAATGTTTAATTTATTGCGGAATTCATGATTGAGATTGAGGAACATATAGCAGAAACAATTTGGTTCAGGCAGGTGCTTATCAACCACCTGTCACATGTCTCCCCTCCTTTCTCTGTTGCTTCTGCAGTTCATGCATAGCTTGAACAATAGATTTTTCAAAGAAAAGCCTGACAAAAGTTTCAATCTTAAAAATAAAATAATTACGAACTTGCGGAAATTAAAAAACCCTTGAAAGTAAAAGAAAGTTAGAAAGCTCATTGTCCTAAGGCTCTAAAAAATCTCAGCTATAACATAAAATCACAGCTTTTTTTCTAGCTACAGAATTCTTAAAGTTCTTTTCTATTTTGAAAAGTCTTCATTATTCGTAATACCTTTTTAACTGGTGAAAATGGTTAAATAATGCTTTTAGTTTTCTAGTGAAAACTATGCATTGTAGCAGGAATAACAGCAACAACCATACATATAATTCCATCTACTGCTTTCAGTTGCTTCTGTTTTCAAGTAGTTGCTCCCAAATACTTGAATATTTTACATTTTGACCTGATTTTTTTTTCCCAAAGAGTCAATATTACAACAGTTCTCGTCTGAATAGCAGAAGTAATTTGAAAATTGATAACCTTCCTGACAATAAAAATAAAGCATTTCAGAAAACATTGAGACATTTAGGACAAAGCAGAACACATCAACGTTGTTGACATGGGTGATATCAGATGGTAATGTATCAATAACTGTAATAATGAATCTATTGTAACAATTACAATAATGATTAAGAAGAACCTCCTTAACAAAGAACAGAAAATGGTTACATTTCTGTGATGCCAGTTTACTTGCTACTTAACAAAATGCAGATAATATTAGACTGAGTACACAAATTACCAGAAACTGTAAGTTCTCTAGGATAACGCAAGTGTTTTAAAAAAGCATGACACATCCATTACACTATTCCAGGATTTTTTTCCTGAATGGAGGAGACTGTAACAACAGAAAACAATTTCCAGGCAACGCTACAAGCTATCATGTCAAACGCAGAAGACAAAGAGTGTATGTAATCTTGAAATTCGGAAGTTTCAATTTGAAGTTAGGTCTTTGACAAAATAAACATAGAGGAAGATCATGCCTGCTTCATGAGAATTTGCTATTGTGTTACTAATTTCTATGCATATTGTACAAATTGATAAAAACATCTCAACACACTCTAACTAATTATTTCTGGGTTTATTCCCAAGACACGGTTACAAATTTCTACTATTCACCATCAGAAATTACCAGCTCCCTCCCACCAAAGATTAGTTTTACTTTAGATCTGAGCTAAAAGCCTCAGGCTAGCAATTATGGTTCCTCCTGGAAATGTGTATTATGAAGCATTACATATGTAAAAGCCATGCGATCACATGCAGTCCTCTGAAGATGTATGTGAAGTATCAAAGATATACTGAAACAAAAGTAGTGTTTGCTTTTACTTCAGCCTACTTACAGTTAAGACTTCTAAAACTAGTCTTCTGCAATTACATTTTTCCACATAAAGCTAGGGCACATTCATGGACTGGTTCAATTTAATGAGGTTCTATATTGCAGTTTAAAAACAATCAGGCAGATAGGGAAAACAGATGAAAGTAATCTAAAGCACCACTTCCAGAGTAAAGGGTAGCAACCTAAAACACGTTCAAAAGAACCTACCCTTGACAGTGAAACTTGCAAAACAGATTCTGTCCACTACTACACTGAATTTTGCCACCACTGCTAATTCCCTGCTCTGACTGCCAGATCAGGCTCCACCATGTGCAAAGGAATGACACGGCTGAAGTATTACAAACCAATGCCAATCAGTGCCTGGTATTTCCTTCACTCACAACAACTGGAACTTATCAACCTCTTCCCTCCTCCTCCCAAAAAACACTGAACCACAATGTACTACAGTTTTCAATATAAGATCTTTTACCCAAACTCTGATATTATTTTATCTTGGTGCAAAGATGCATACTTTAGGCAAGAGTA